CCAGAGTCATCAATTGCAATGCCAAACAGTAGCTGGAACTCATTAAGTTTATTAAGAGCAATAGTAAAACTTGATATAAAGCTGTAAATTATTCCTCCACACCCTCTGCTTCTGAAACACTTCTGACAGATTAGATCTTATACACAGCTGGTCCAACATTTATTTATTCCAGCATATAACAATGCTTCTTAAAAAAATTACCAACATCCATAATTACATTTTTTTTCAAGTTTCAGAACACAAAATTAGCTTCTTCTCTAATTCAATCTGACAATGATTACTGATGTCTGGAAAATTATCTATGATTGAAATTTATGTCACAGAAACCATTATAAATGGCAAGGAGAGAAAGGAGGAAGGGAGAAAAGGAGGGAAGTAGGAAGTAGATGAAAGGAGGAAGTAGAGAAGAGAGGGAGGGAGTGGGGGGGCGGGATTTCCTAGTATGATCCAGCAAGGTTATTTCAGTCTCAGTAGACAGTGGAAGTTAAATTAAATAATAATTCTTCTGTAAAGTAAGACATGCTTTTCTTAAGCCTGTTTGTGTTGTATACAAATATTAGGAGTTACCTAATGTTATAAAGCATGTACTTTGCAAAGTAAAGGAATTAGAAGACAAAATGTGAGCAATACTGCTTTAAATTTTTCTGAAAGATGTTTTCTGATTCCTGACAGCTGACTTCAAAACACAAGGTCGACATAGAGAGGAAAATGCAACACTGGTTGATCACTGTGAAGGGCAAACTACCTCCATTTCTGTTTAAATGTCCCTTGAGTTGTCTTTCGTTATAATTTTAAAATTAAATTCATTTGCAGACAGAATGAGCCGTACATCTGAATATGCTTTAACTTCACATATTTTTGCTAGACCTCTGGTTCCTAAAGCTGTACAGCACAGAGATAGGCATTCTTGACAGGTAAATAAGTCAGCCATATCAATCATACAAAATAGACACTGACACTATACAGCAAATTCATCAAACAACTGAAGTCCAAAATACTTTTTAGGTCATTTGACTTGACTGAAATGAAAAGCTTAAATCCTTTGGAGGTATTAACTTTTCCAATCCTCAAAAAAACTGCAGTCTCTATTCATGCATTTTACAGTGAAACAGAAAATGTGTGACAACAACAACACACTAGTTATCCTCCTTGGGAATACTGATTTAAATATTGTAGCACAAAATGGTGACTCATCTAAAACAGATTTGATTCCCAACCATCACTTTCCCTGATTCAAGGTAGACAGAAAAGCAGACACATATTTTTTCTTACTAACTCCTCACAGATTAAATTATATGGTCATCATGAGAAAGATACTGATTCATGGTGAGTTACCTTGGAAAATGCTTGGCTAAAATCCCTTTACTTGTTTACAGCACTGATACTGTTAGAAATGTCCACTTTGTGCTACAAATAGGTTTTGGGAAGGAGAGGCAAGGATTCCTTAAAAAGAAATTATATAAATTTATGTATCTTGGGTCCAGCCTCAGATGTAAAAGCCATCTTACCTGTAACCTTAATAGAACAATTATGCAGGGAAAGTGGAGCTTCCTTTGGGATCCTCATGGTCTTAAATGATTTGTTTACAAGCCAAAGACAAATTCACATGCCCTTGGTCTATTCTCATTTTCTTGTATGTTTGCCTGCAAACCTTGAAAATTTTGTCCATCTACATGTTCAGTCCATGTCAAAGATGAGATTTAGATAATCAACATTAATATAAGCAAACCTGGCAGTAAAGGAAACTATGAAATACAGATTTATGTTAAACAGATCTCATAAAATGTCTCTCCAAGACAGGTTGCAAGGGATAAAATACTAAATGGGGAATTTCTATTTTAAACACAGAGTGTGACAGTACTATAGCATGTCAACGGGTATAAATTGATTGCCTATGCCTGTTTGATTTACAGTGACTGATTTTGATTGAGCAATTTACATGGTGTAAAAATCTGTTTTCCTCCTGCAAAATCTTAGCCATTATATGTAGACAAGAAAGTCAGACTTGTCAGAAAATCTCAGCTCACAATCAAAGGGAAACACAACCTCACTGCTAAGTCCCAGTCATGCTTCTGATTAGCCTGCCTCCCTCATATTCAAACTGATATATTATCTTGACGTTTTGACCAAGTGAAATTTTCTGGTGAAAAACCATTTCAGAAAGAAAAGTATTGATGTCTCCAGCTTTATTACCATTCCTACATAATTAAAACATTATTCCCTTTACTGTTCAACCTGTCATTTCTTGGACACTTAATACAATTTTTCAAGAAAGAAAATTTCTGTCTTAACATTTTTCCTGAAGATGAATGATAGTCTTTTTCACAGCTTATCTGGATTACTCTTTTTGAGATACGATATTTGAGTATGTGAAGCTTTCACAAAACTGGAGAATTTGATGTACTGCATGCTAGAAAAGAAAGGTAAAAAATCTATAATACATATTGATAAATGTCACCAGTAAAAATTATACAGGTTGTTATTTTATATGGTGCTACAGTTTTAAAACCTTTGTATTAATTTACCTTATACTAAAATACCAATTTAAATACAAGGCCAACAGATAATTGTATTTCTTTATTATGAGGAACACTTGAACTACTTTAAACTAATGCAGCAAATTATCTAAAACCATTTAGTAAAATATACTGGAGAGGGGTCAAACCTAGGGCAGTGCTATTTAAATCAAATTGAATTCCATCTTGAGAATGGATTTCAAATAGATTTTTAATTGCAGTATTTTGTCCACAGGGCATTCTATCACACACTGTTCGTTTGCAAGTAAAATACTCCAGAATGTCCTCCATCAGGATAGTGCCAGGCCTCTCTTAATTACAAAATTTCTGCATTATGAAGTATGTAAATATGTTCTGAGGTTTTCATTATTTGCTCATTTGGCTTATAGTTAATCTCTTGAGCCATACACTGGATACTGTTGAAGTCTGGTTCATTTAATTAATCAGAAAAACAGGAGACAAAACATTAACACTAGTTGGGCTTTTTATCATACAGCAAAAATAAGATTCAAACATGATGCAGATGTTTTCCTGTAATGTGTGATCCATGGTGGCTGCACAGAGCCTGCAGGAGAAGGATGTGAGCCCACACATGAAGGGCCCCATCACTTCATTGCTCTCTAGCAGTACTGCCTAAGCACAGAGGATGCCAAGCTAAGCATTTTCTTGGACCTAAGAGGGTTTTGGTGTGCAGCATGGCAGTCGGGGCGGGGGGGGAAAGCATTTGTGACAGCACTGAGGCTGCCCTGGATAAGCATCCCTCGAAGTGTGGTGACATCCAGCTTTGGCCTTCCACTGTGCTTTCCAGGAAGGTCCAACAGTGATCCCCTCTTCTATTCTTTACTTCTGTGTGGATAAAAATCCCAGAAAGAAATCGAAAGGTCAGGTGTAGCAATGAGTATCACGAAAAAGTTACTCAAGCCTTATGCAAGTTGTCCTTACCATTGCTGGAAATCTAACAGCAGAAAAATAGGTTTAAAGTACCCTAGAATATGACATTGTAAATTAAGACAATCTCCTAACTTATTTCCACTCAGGATTCTGGAAAAGAAGTAGTAAATGCTTTGCAAAAAAGAAGACATGCAGTGTTTTTTAATTAAAGACCATATAATACTTTCAAAAACACAGCAACAAGTTCACCCTCTGTAGATAACCTTCCAGACAGATGGCAATAACTAAACTGATTTCTGGTTTTTGGACAAAACCTTTGCTAGATGACTAACATATACAAATGTACTTGTTTTTTCTACAATGAAGACTTTCAGGAAATGTTTGTCCTTAAAACACTTACAAATAATTTACAGTACTTGTCTTTACAGTTACCCCTGTTTACAGTTCTATTTCAGGCATTTTGTTGTGGGACTGGAGTGGTTTCAGATGGGAGAGGTCATCACAAATGTTCAAAATGTTCAGGTCCAGATATGACATGCTTTACTTTTTGTTAGAAACACTTTTCCTAAAGAGACATTAAGTACCTGGGGGTTTTATTTGCTGTTCTTTCTAACACAGTATGCTAGGTGAAAATTAGTACATCATTTGCATTTTATGTAAGCTCTCAAAATAAGTGAGTTTGCAAATTTGTTCATGAGGAACCTAAAGCCACATGCTAATGATCTTAAGCAACTGATATTAACAAATATGTTGCAGCCAGGACACACTGCAAAATTAAGGGCAGCCAGTTGCAAGTACTGTAGCAGAAATACAGTACAGTAACATAGATGAGGATTTTTAAATCTATCCTGGTTGAATGGAAACTATTAGTAGAAGAGGATCCTGACACTATGCAAGTGGTGCAGCTTCTCACAGAGACAGCAGCAACATTAGAGAGTTGGAGAACACTTGTAACAACTGATTTTAGAACTGGACATTATGCTAGGTCTACCAAACCAGTGCCATTCAGCTTCAGTGCAAGGGTGATTGTGGCAGACATGACAGAAGTTCTCAAGACAAAGAAATGGCCATGTCATATGACTAGAGGATTTTGGAAAACAAGTAAAATGGATGTGAAAGTCCTCTGTATCAACAAAGTTCTTACACTTGTATTCAATATTATTTTAAAGGATTAAAAGAAACAACAACAAAACCAAAACCTCAACATCTTCCCTAAATCATGGCCATCAGGAAAAAAATACAACAACATTTTACAGAAAAAAATATAGAAAAAGGACAAAGTATTACTTGTTCACCCTAGCCTTTCCAGGTAAATACTTACACAAGTCATCTGAATCTGTGAAATTTAAAGGGCCTAGATACACTGCTTTGTAAATATTTGTTTTCTAAACCAAGGTTCAGTTAGGTAAATGGGATTTTTTTGTAGTTAATCTCCTAGCACAATGGATCAGGCCCTTCCTTCTATAGTTGCAAATCTGTTTCTTGGTCATCAAGTAAATTTAATACTGAGAGTAGCTATTTTAAATTAATTACATAAATGTTTTCAATAAGTATATATACATATATTTAAAACTTCTGTTATTTATTTGACAGACTTGAATCAAAGGAGCCTTTCCTGTCTGTTGGGTAAGTAGGAAAATGTGTATTTTTGTGGCTATTTATTTATTCAACTATCATAAAATATAATTTATGAGTTTATGATAAGTATAAACATCTTGTTTCAACAATAATAAAACCAAATTCATAAACCAGAAAAAATATCACATTTTTAGCTTAGTTATGGATCACTACGCTGATTTCCACTGTTGTCTTCTTAGTCTCATAGTCACTTAAATAGTGTTATGGTCTATACACTAGAATTATTACATCATGTTTCTAAAAACTTATTTTTAAATGTGACATTCTCAAAAAAAAAACAAACATAAGAAATTAAACTATTATATATGTTAAAAGGTAAATATCTCTATTTTACTCCTGAGTCGGAAGTTTACTTTTCATGCACTGCTTCCTTCTTAGCTTCTTCCTTTAGAACTTTTGTAAATCTCCTAACATTCTCACTCCCTATTTTCCTTAGAATTGTGTATTCTTTATGTTTCTTCATTCTCATTTTTCTTTGTTCACAACACTGTGCTCCATACAAGAGCATGAAGTACAGCCAGAAGATCCCATGCAAAATAGCCATTTAAGAGCTAATTCTACCATGTAATTAGCAGTAGCTTCCAAACTGTTGTATTAACTGGAGATCAGAAAACTACTTCAAGATCAAATTAACAAATGAAGTGTGTCAGTTATGAACAGAGAAACTCAATGAATCAGTGTAAACAAGATTGAGTTATGTCTCAGTTGAAACTCAGCACAGCATAAAGTAAATCAGGTTTGTTTGAGTATGCTTTTAATTAATTGCTTGCCATTTCTTCTTTCTGCCAACTCAAAATTATTGAAAAATAAGTTACATTCTGGTCAAATTATTGGGCCACTCGGGGTTATTTTCTTGGTTTGAATGCTTTGAAATGTCCAAATCCATTATGAAATTCAATCACTTCTGTTATTACCTTCTGTTACACCATTTTGTAACTTGTCTATTGAGTTGGTTTTTGAGGCCTCCACTGTAATCAAGAAGTGATTATCTGAAAATATCAACTTTTAGATGAAAAAAGAAGGTGCATGTCATTGTGTCCAAGGAGCAAATTTGAAATACAAAATCCAAGAGGTAAAGAAAAGACAGTAATAGCAATTATATTAATTATATTTGCCAGAAAATAATTAATGCCATTTTTGCAGCCTGGAATGTTAGGATAATTGGTGATGCCTGCCTAGAAGGAAGTGTTATGTTTATGTTTTGGGTTTGGGTTTGTTTCCAGATGAATGGATTGATGGTGTAAATCTATGTTATCTCCACATAGCCATTGCATGTGACTTTGTTGCTTAAGTGGACTAATCTTGAGAAATTTAATCTGAGCAAATAGATGTAGTCTCTTCCCAGAACTTCCCAGAAGTTTGTCTGTAATGTACTTGAAGTATTTTTTGCAAGTTTGTAATGATATGGACAGAAAATGAAAAAATTAGTCCCAGTCTCTGTACTACTTTTGCCTTTTGTTGCTTCCTCCACCCCAAAGGAAAGGGGTGGCGGAAACATCCACCAACACCCACCTTCTTGTTACTAGGTCAGAGAGATGCTTCTCCTAGTCCCACAGTAATTGGGGGGGTTCATTTGTTCAGAGAATCAGCTCTTGTTCCAAGACCTGTAGCTAAGGTCTTAACCCAGACTGACAGCTGCAACCACCAGGCTTTTAAACTACAGTAAATGTTTGCAGAAGAAATGCTGTCTCAGCCTCATTTAAACTAGCACATGGGTGCCCTTAATGCCACTTGCATCCAGAGTTGGTCAAAACACCAATCTACAATCTCCTTTCTGTGGCAAAGCTTTATATCCACATTTTCATTATATTATCTGTAGGGGCAATTTTATATTTTTTCACTTTGTTTGCCTAAATTGGTGCTTTTCCATTGTTAATTCTTTTGGTGGGGGAAGGGAACATGAAGTGTGGCAGCCTAGGAGCTCAAGACTGCCACAGTTTGTTGAGCTCTGCAGGACTACACAGAACTGCAGCATTTCTGTGAGAGATCTCACAAACAAAAAGAAGTTCTTAAAAAGGTTCGGTTTCCTCTCTTTCAGAAAGCAGCCAGGTATGGAGAGAAGCAGGGCCTCCCTCCTGCTGTTGTAGTGTGTCTCTCAAATGCAGGGAGACAAACTATTCCATTTATCCTTCATTCTGTGCAAAGAGCATAACAAAGAAGAAAAATCCATGCTTCTTTACTGCCTGTGTAATACAGGGGCATAGTTTGGCAATGAAGTAACAGTAATCTAGTACAAGTCTCTAATAGTAAAAATCAGGACCAAAATTCGAATATGTGATCTATTAAGATAAGAATATGTGAATTCAAAGTTGTGATTTTGCACTAGAATAGAAAGCTGAATTTTATATACTTATCTTCTTTCTCTTAGGGGTGAAAATAAAATCCTTAGGGAAGCACTGAAACATCTTGTAACAGTGCTGAACGCTGAGAGTTAGGCTCTAAGGGCAGAAGGTGCTTCTCCCCACAGGTGTTATTTCCACACTTCTGGGGTTTTGTGTCCATGTTCACCCTGAGCAAGACAGAGCATTATCTGGAGTTTCTTTTCTCTTCCTGTCATGTAGTTTTCATGTTAATGTAGGGTTAGAATAAAAAAGAAGTTGTGCAAACAGCCAGAATGCCTGGAAGACTACCATCAGAGGCAACAGTTCTGGCAAAATTGCACCAAAGTGAAGACAGCTGACAGTGTATCAATTTAACTTCATGCAGAAGTCTTTGAAAGATTCAGACCTAGAAAGACCAGGCAGGCCAAGAGGTACAAAAAACTGGGTACTGCTAAAAGGACAACCAGCTCCTATTAAGTTCATCCCAGTTTGTGAAAAAAAGAGGTACAATATTTTAAAATAAATATTAAAATACCAACAACTTTTAATTATTCACATTTCTTCTTCATATTTGGCATTTTGTTCTTAATAATAATGATGCACAATTATTCCCCTCAACAAAACTGTTATCATTCTCTCTAGATGATTGACTGATAATCCAGTTACTAACCATTCACCCAGCTATTTCATGGGAGCTGATTCATGGTAATGATCTGCAAGTAAAAGTTTAGTCCTTGATAAATTCCAGATAATACTGCAGCAGATTTGTAACTTATCATCACTATGAGCCCTAAAATTCAAAACTGATTTTGTAAAACATAGCCATTGCTGCATCTTTTAAGATCTGCAATAGCCAAGAGAGACCATGGTTATTTTGTAACTGTCTCGCACAGTAGAAAAACTTATAATTAATTCTTGTTTGCATCTAATGGTAATTTATGTTATTTTAGTAATCATATTCAGTCTATACTGTAACACATGTAATGGTAGAAATCTATCATAGCAACTAATAATTTTGTCAGACTTTTAAAAATATTTGTGTTCTTTCCTGATGTCATTTAATAATATGGCCCCTAGTGCTGAATTCAGAAGAGATGGGTAGAGTAAGAAACAGAGCTGATTTTTTCTGAAGCTGGCAAGAACTTAGATTTATCTACTGCAAGTTGCAGAGAATAAGATTACTTGCGGATAAGCAAGCAATAGCTCCTGAATGAAATGGTCTTTGAAAATGCGTATGACTTCTACATGCAGTTGTCAGTTCAGTTTCAATCTATTTCTCTTTTGTGTAGATGTAAAAAAAACAAACAAAACAATACAAACTGCTGACTTTTCCACTCTTTTTTTTCTTTTTTTCAAGATTGGCTGTTTGCTATAAGCAGTATAAATTTAGATGGAAAGCCCAGAGAGAAACATATGTTCAATGAATGCATTGCATGCATTTATTACATGAGTAATAGTTGTCTGTCATGGGAGAAAGGAGAGAGATGTAAGAGTAAAATTGGCAGTAATTGCTGCATTCTTTTACATTGTGAGTGAAAATACTGCAGATTTGTATGAACTACTAATTTTCTCACTGTGGACCTGTTTATAGATGGTATATAGTATAGAAAGAAAATACTGAAAAGCCGTGTTTTTTTCCAAATCACAGCTTAATCACAGTACCTTTCAAATCACAAGTGCTTACTTCTAGAAAAGTACTAAAGTACCTACTTCTGTGAAAAAGCTGGAGCAATTTTTTGTGGGATCATCTTTAGGAAGTTCTTCCAAAATACAAAAAGTAAAACACCTTAATTTTATTCTGGCAGACTTGTTCTGAGAAACAACTGGAATTTGTCACCCATATTTCTTCCTCTTGCTCAGTGGCATTTTCTTTCCCATAAGGCAATATTGCAGAAGATCTGCAGGAAATCCTTCACCCAACCACCAGTTTGAGGGATCCCATTCAGAAGAAGTGAGATAGCTTAAGACAACCAAATGCTAATCCTTGCAGATTCTCTTAGGAAAATATTCAGTCCACTTCCAAAATACTCAGGTTCTTTCAATTCACATTAAGTTTTGGTGGCTTGTTTTTTTTACAGACAGTAGGCTGTAACGCACAAATCAGAATTTAGCCACGTTATCTTCTACACATGAAATACCATAAAAATTTTCCCTCATCCTGAGTATCAGATAGCACCAGTGGAGGAGCAGACACTATTCCTTTTGTTCCCATCCAGCTTCTGAAGAGAGATAACTAAGAAAATTGTTTTCCTTCAGCAGAGAAAAGCTTAAAGAAGAGGAGATACTGGATGCATTTTGCACTGTTAATATGAAACCACTAAAACTCACAACTTGAAATTAGTCTTGTAGCTCTCATTCACATTCAGGCCAAGTATTCAGGAGCTGTGTTTTCATTAAAAGCATAGGAGGACTCAACACACTTGACAATTATTTAAACGTCTTTAGAGACAGGCAGTAATTCCTTCTGCTCATGCTCTGTGATTTAGATAGGCAGCAGTGGGTCTTCTGCATTTGCAGAAAATACCCTCTAAAACAACTATTCAGTGTGAGGTTTAGCCAGGAAGTCAGAAGCTGAAGTCAGGGGACTGCAAGGGCTTTGTGCACAGTGAGGCTGTCAAGGTAGTCGCCAGAAAAACAGGAGGAGTCTGGGGGAGAATAGCACATATG